TTGCTTTTTTTTTAGCATCTTGGGAGAGTTTCCTTTTATATCGCTCCCAGCACCCAGGCCCATTATCACAGAGGGCCTTCTTCCGGTGGTGCCAATATGGGGGAGATGATCCCTCCTTTAGATGGAGGAGACAGACCCCATATGGGGCCACCGGTAGGAGGAGTGGTGCTGGGAGGCAGAATGACCAAAGGTCAAACATTATGAATTTTTATCAGTAGTTTTTTTTTTTTTTTTGTGTTAATTTATTTATTTGTTGTAAATATATCTTTACGTTTCAAAAAAGTTGTTTTTTAGTTTCGATTTTTGCAGGTATTTTTATTTATTTTTGATATTTTAATTTTTTAATTTTATATTTATTGATTTTTATTTCTGATTTGAGAGTCTAAACTTTCAAAACAACTCTTATGTGGTTAAATGTTAAATAATTTGTCTATTAATTTTTATTTATTTCATATAGTTTTTGATTTCTTGATAGTAAATATTTTGTAATTTAGTTACAATTTTTTCTTATTCTATTTGTTTGTTTTATATGCCTAATTGTTGCATTATACACATATTAATGTTTATATTATTCTCTTTAGATTTTTATTATAAAAAAGTAATCATTAAAGATAGCCACATCTGAACTATATGATGTTACATGTTAGACAAGTTTTATTTGCAATTTGCAATTTGGCATGTCGTTTTTTTATTTGTAAATAATTTTACTATTTAATTTAGTTATTATTAGCATTAAAAAATTGTTAAAATTGTTATAATTTTATTTTAATTTATTTCTAAAATATTTTGTTTTATTACTTTAAATGTAATACTTAGTGGTTCAACTTATGTTTAACTTTTAGGTTTTTCTCTGTTTTAAACCAGTTAAGTTAAGACTTTAGGTCAATAAATTTTATTAGAAAGTATATAAATAGTCTTATAGAGTTTATATTGATAATTAGAAATGCACATATTATGTTTTTCCATTTTAGATTAGTATAACAAAAAATTAATCAAATCAACTTTTATCAAACATAGTTTCTTAGTTATGTCAAATAACTTGAGAGCTGAAATAAGAAGAAATCGTCGGAATGAGAGAAATTAGGCTAGGCGAGAAGAACTTAATCGTCGCCAAAATGAAAGAAATGAGGCAAGGCGAGAAGAAATTAATCTTCGCCAAAATGAAAGAAATGAGGCAAGGCGAGAAGAAATTAATCTTCGCCAAAATGAAAGAAATCAGGCTAGGCGAGAAGAAATTAATCGTCGCCAAAATGAAAGAAATCAGGCTAGGAGAGTATTACATAGACGTGGAATGCATTGCATAGCAAGAAATAATGTTTTTATAGTGAGTAATTACCTTGGAGAAATGAACCATATTTGTCAATATTGTGGTGCCAAAAAATTTTTAAATGAAACACATTTTCTGTGCTGCCATTCTGGAAAAGTTGCGTTAGCTCCACTTTCGCCTTATCCACTGCTCATGCACAATTTAATGACAGGCAACCATGTTGATCGTGCTATGAATCAAAATTTCTTCAAGCATATTCGAAGTTATAATGCCTGTTTATCTTTTGCTTCATTCACAGCAAGAATAGCTCCTCCGTCTGATCATGGGCCACCCTGTTTTAGGATTTGCGGACAAATTGTGCATCGTGTTGGTAATCTGAGACCTGATCAAAATGTTCTGTGCATATTGTCAGTTATATGTTTATGATCCTAATACTGCTTTAAATTTTCGAATGGAGCAAAATGATTGTTGCATACGTGAGTTGATGGAATTTTTGCAGACTATAATTAGTCAAGAGAACCCATTTGCTCTTGCATTTAAAAACATGGCTGAAATTGAAGATGAAGAAGTACGTCAAGCAGCTTTAGAAGGTCGACCAACTTCGATTGTTAAAATGTCATTGCTTGAAGGTGGTGATAGACGTCGATACAATCTTCCTTCACATGAGGAAGTTGCCATTGTTTTTGTTGGGGATGATGGTGCTCCACCTCCATCTAGGGAAGTAGTTATATACCCTCGAGGTCAGGCCTTAAAAACAATTTCAAGTATGTCTGCAAATCTAGATCCAATGATATATCCAATATTTTTTCCAAGAGGTGATGCTGGATGGCATGAGCAACTAGAGCATCATCCTGACCGAGCTACACGTGTTAGAAATCGGGTTACTTTGTCTCAGTACTACAATTACAGGCTTTCTGTTAGAGAAACCTTTAATCCTATATTTTATGGTAAGAAGCTTTTTCAACAGTATGCTGTTGATGCATATGTCAAGATTGAAGGTCAGCGCCTTGCTTTTATTAGAAATAACCAAAACAGACTTAGAAGTGAACAATATGATACATTATATGTACATGTAAATAACGCTGCAAATAACCTTAATGTAAGACCAGGTCGTGTTGTTATACTACCATCCTCATATGTTGGAAGTCCAAGAGCTTTAAAAGAAAATTTTGAAGATGCAATGGCAATTATAAAGAGATATGGCAAACCAGATCTTTTTATTACTTTTACCTGCAATCCAAAATGGAAAGAAATTACAGAAAATTTAAATCCAGGTGAGAGCCCATCTGACAGACCTGATTTAGTTTGTCGTGTATTTAAGATGAAACTTAAATGCTTCCTAGATGATATTTTTAAACACGGAGTCTTAGGTAAAGTTATAAGTCATGTACAGGTTATTGAGTTTCAAAAACGTGGTTTGCCACATGTACATATTTTATTGCACTTTGTAAATGATGATAAGCTAGAAACAGCAGAGGATATTGATAGTCTAATATCAGCTGAAATTCCAGATCAAACTGTTGATCCTGAACTTTTTGAAATTATAAAAACATGTATGATTCACGGACCATGTGGAATTTTGAATCCCAATTCTTCTTGCATGAAAGATGGGATTTGCACAAAAAAGTTTCCTAAAGAATTTAATCCTCACACTGTTGCAACTTTCAATGGCTATCCTCACTACAGGCGTTTAGATAATGGTAGAGTAGTCGTTATAAAAGGTAACCAAGTTGATAATTGATGGGTTGTACCCTACAACCCTTGGTTATCTAAAAAATACCAAGCACATAATAATGTTGAAGCTTGCATGTCTATTAAGTCAGTTAAGTATTTATATAAATATGTCTATAAGGGGCATGATTGTGCTCATGTGTTAATTAATGAAAGTCTTGACCATGATGAAATTAACACATATTTAGATTGTCGCTTTGTTTCTGCACCAGAGGCTCTTTGGCGAATATTTGAGTATTCCATAAGTGATATGTCACATACTATTATCCGCCTTCAAGTCCACCTTCCTGATAATCAGAGGGTATATTTTAACGAAGGAGAAGAACGAGTAGCTATAGATCGTGCTGCACAGCGTGACACTCACCTAACCGCTTGGTTTAAATTAAATGCTGAGATAAATGAAGCACGTCAGTATTCTTATGTTGAAATTCCATATCACTTTGTTTTTGATGGTAAAAATTGCAAGTGGAAAGTAAGACAAAGAGGCAGTGATAAGGTGATTGTGCGAATGTATAAAGTCAATCTAACCAGTGAAGTATTTTTTCTTAGATTGTTGCTTTTGCATGTAAAAGGTGCAATGTCTTTTGAGGATTTGCGTACTATTCATGGCACTGTTTTTAATACATTTCGTGAAGCATGTTATCGATTAGGTCTATTGCAAGATGACATTGAATGGAGAAATACATTAACTGAAGCTGTAGCAACTCGAATGCCTAAACAAATTAGGCAACTGTTTTCCATTGTATTGACTTTATGTGAATCTGATGATCCTTGACACCTTTGGAATACATTTAAAGATTATATGATTGAGGATTACATACACCATTCAATGCCAGTTGTACTTGCTGAACAGACTGCTCTTCGTCAAATTGAATCTATAATTAATCAGAGTGGTAAAACTTTAACTGATTATAATTTGCCTACATTAGATCAGTTATTAGATAATGTCCTAGAAAATGATGATGGAGATATTCAGTTATTTATTGATGAAGCAAATCAAGTTAGACCATTATTAAACGATAATCAGCGTAATGTAGCTGATGCAATCCTTGCTGCACTTAGTGAAGAACCTAATAATGAAAATAAGCATTTAAGATTTTTCTTTATGGATGGTCCTGCCGGTTGTGGTAAAACATTTACTTACAATTATTTAATTGCTGAAACACGCAGCAGGCATATTAGAACTGCAACAGCTGCATGGACAGGAATAGCTGCAACTCTTCTTAAGAATGGATGCACATTGCACGGCTTATTCAAACTTCCTGTTCCAATTTTGGAAACTAGCACATGTAATGTAACTCCAAACTCCATTCATGGTAGATTCCTGAGACAAGTTAGTTTATATTTACTCGATGAAGCATCTATGATACCCAAACATGCTTTGAGTGCCATTGATAAGTTATTACAAGATATTTGTAATAATAAGTTTCCTTTTGGTGGTAAAGTTATTCTTATGGGTGGAGATTTTCGACAAATACTTCCAGTTGTGAAGAGAGGTCGACCAGCAAATGTTGTAGAATCATGTATAAAGTGTTCTGAACATTGGCAATATGTGCAAAGGTTTTCATTAACTGAAAATATGAGGGTTCAGATAGGAGAAGAGGAATTTTCTCAATGGCTTTTAAAGCTTGGAAGTGGAACATTACCTGTCAAGCCTGAAGATCCTTTGCAAGGGTGTATTGAAATACCTGAGCAGTGTTTTCTCAATGATAATGAATCTATTGTGGAAAAGATTTTTGGTGGTGCAGAAGAAGCTGATTATGCAAAACGTGCTATTTTAACACCAACAAATGTTGATTCATTGGCAATAAATGAAGAAGTCCTTCATCGATTACCGGGTGATGTTAAAACTTATTTAAGTTCAGATAGCATTGAAACTGATGATCATAATGAAATTTATAATTTTCCAGTTGAGTTTTTAAATACTTTGACTCCATCAGGTATGCCTGTTCATTGCCTAAAGTTGAAAATTGGTGCTGTTATAATGCTACTTAGAAATTAGATCTCAAAGGTGGACTTTGTAATGGAACACGTTTGATGGTGCGTGCACTACACAACAATTACATTGATGGTGAGGTTCTAACAGGTGTTTCAGCTGGTAACAGGGTATTTGTTCCTCGAGTTCAATTAGCTCCATCAGATTCAAATTTACCTTTTACACTTAAACGTCGTCAATTTTCAGTTAGGTTAGCATACTCAATGACCATAAATAAAAGTCAAGGTCAAACATTTGATAAAGTTGGTGTTTATCTCAAAAAGCCTTGCTTTTCACACGGCCAATTATATGTTGCATGTTCAAGAACAAAATCTTTTAATAGTTTGTTTTTTAAAGTTGATAAACATGCATTACAAGGTATGTCATTTAACAAATATTACACAAATAATGTTGTGTTTACAAATGTTCTTAATTTATAATTTTGACAAGTTTGTTTATGTTTTTTTTCTTTGCTATATATGTTTATATATGTGAATATATGTTTTTACTTATATATAGATGTTTGTGTTTGTATATGTTTGTTTATATGTGTTTAAGTTTATATTATGTTGTTTCCATGTTTGAAAAGTGGTGTTACTTGGCAACGTGTAGTGCAAGATTGTGATCCTTGCCAGCCAAGTGGTGTTACTAATTAGTGGTGTTACTTGACACTTAATGCCAAGCGGTGTTACTAAATTGTGGTGTTACTTGGCAGCGTTTAGTGCCAAGCGGTGTTACAAGTGTTGAACTAGGTTGTGTTGTCTAGCTTTTTTAATTATTTTGGAAACACATAATATCTGAATACATTGTGTAATGTGTACTTACAAATGTCATATGTTGTGTATTATTCAGTAGCGTAGGCAGGATTTTTTGATGCTTCAGGTTTTACTTTTATTTTCAGACTCTTTCATTACTTTCAGACTCTTTCATTACTTTCAGACTCTTTTATTACTTTTATTACTTTCAGACTCTTTAATTACTTTCAAACTCTTTCATTACTTTCAGACTCTTTTATTACTTTCATTACTTTCAGACTATTTCATTACTTTCAGACTATTTACTTTCAAACTCTTTCATTACTTTCAGACTCTTTCAACTAAACTTAATTGTGTTCATGTTTGTCAAATTCAAATAATTTGTAAAATATGGATGTGGTTGGGGCTTGAAAACAAATATGTTTTAAAAAGGTTTGCTTTCCTCCCTTGAATTTAGCTGCCAATTAGTTAAAAAAGTATTTTTTTTAAGCATATAATAATAATCTTATTCATTAACAGGTTTTAAATTTCTTATAAAACAACAAAAGTCCTGTCTACACCACTGGTGTTTTTGTTTGTCATTGTGTAATGTTTCTGTTGTGATGTTTTGTGTTGATAGACAGCTTGGCTTACCTTCACGCTGGTGTCTATCGTTAAAAATGATTATTAGCTAGCTTCATTACTGAAACTACTCCTTCTAATCATTCACTAAAAGCCAAGAAATATTTTTTTGAATAAATGCCTAATTTTTTTATCTCACTGTGACTTTTTATCTTTAGCATTGTTGATAAAATAGCTTTTTAAATAAAGAGTGTTTCCAGCCTTCCAATCAAATACTAGAGACTTCCACAAAAGCGATCTCACAAAGTAAGTTTCTTATTTAGTGTTTGATAATTGACTAAGTTTCGTCACCTTTTATATATTTTTTTACATCTTATTATGTAATTTTTCAACATTTAGACAACTTTTAAATAACTTTAAACAACTTTTATATGTGTATTCAGTGTTTTATATAACAATATTTTTCTTCATTTTATAGGTAGATTTCCTGTTATAACTGGTTTAAAAATTGTTAATCGTTAATCATTTTTTAAAAGCGTTTACTTTTTCTAAAGACGTATTACTAATACCATTAGTAATACGTCTATTCATACATTATCAAAAATACTTTATCAAATGTATATTCATACCATTTACTAAAAGCTATCTTCTCTATATATTATTGCCGAACTTAATAGTGTTAGTAGCGCTCTTTCGAGCGTGTTTGACAAACCCATGGCAACTATTGCAACCAAAGTAATGGCGAGGAAGAGTCTCAGCACTTTTTGATAAATAAACGTAAACAAAAGTGTATGCAAATATCTAACTTACGTAAACTTCAAAATATGAAATGTTAAAACATACAAAAACATGTCAAGTTTTACAGTTTTACTTTCACTTAAAAACAGCATTGCGGCAACGTCTCTTTAATTTTGATCGATTTACAAAGTCTTTTATTTATTATATATTTTTGAAATTTTCGTCAAAATGCCGTGGTTAGCCTTACGTAAACTTTTATTTATTATAATTTTAAATTTGTTATTTGTCATGTTATTTTAAGTCGTATTAGCGCAAAGAAATTGGGTATATAACATGTAAATATTTAGAACTATAAAGTTGTTTTGTTTTGCATTTTAAATAACAATAATTTTATTAAAAAAAGCAAGCTGATGATTTGAACTTGCCACGCGGCGACCTTGAATTTTTTTAAAACAGTGAGGGGGTTTTAAAAAAAAACATTCTTATTTAAAAAAACTTTAAAAATCTTAAATTTATTTTTAAAATAAATTATTTTATTGAAGTTATTATTTTTCAAAATAATAAAACGTTAAAACTATTTAATTTAAAATAATAAAAATATTTAGAATTTTACAGTTACTTATTTACGCCCCCGTTAAATATTCTAAACCGAGTGCGCAACTATGACAGAATTAAGAAAACCAATAAAATTGTGAGATACTCTGTTTAATATTGGAAGAGTCTACTCGGATGCTATAAACTAATGGACTCTATTATGTTTCTTTTTGTAATGTTTTTCTAACGGTTAACAAATAAAAGCAAAGCGGAGATACATCAACTGAGCGTTTAGGTTTGGGCAGGCATTCTTTTAAATTAAAGAAAAGAGTTTTGATACTTATTTAAATGGGGTTAATAAAATATTTTAAATTATATATATTATATTTAAAAAATTATAAAACTAAATTACATATGATTTTTAGATGAAACAGTAAAAATAATTGTTTAAAATACGTGCGTGCAAATAATTCCTACCAATACTAAACGTAAAAAAACGCTTACAAACACCAAAAGTATATTTACCGTGAATAAAATTAAGTTCAAAGAAAAATTGGAAGAAATGTTTAAAACTGTTTTAATAATAACATTTATTTTTAATTATTTTTGTTGTAAGTTGGGATGAAAAAAAAGGTCACTGGAATATGAACTCCAGGGGGGAGATGACTATATCTGTCTAAGTGTTGCGCGGCTACCAATTAGCCCATAAACGTATTCTCTATTTAGAATTTGAGATAATTTATGACGCATAAGAAGTGTAATTAAAAATTCAAAACCAAGTTTGGAACAACTGAATTTAAAAAAAATCTAATTAGATGTGTATATGTTATGAACGTTAACTAAGGCGTACTTTAACGGCATCACGTGCTGAAAGTTTTAGCATTTTTCAAAGTTCGTAGTCTTTTTTACGTTTTTTCTTATTAAAATCTTTATAATCGGCATAATATTAAAAGCGTTTAAAGTTTTTTAAAGAACATTATAACGTTATATAATGAAATTTTTTTGTCATATCAAAAAGTAAGTATAGTTTTTTATATGTACATAGTTTTTAAAACGGTTTTAAAAAAATATTGAGGTAAGGAATAAGTATAGAAAAGGTCGGTGTGGAATAGATTTACTAAGACCCTTATTTTACGTCCTGATAGCTATAGAAATGATCAGATAAGTATAAAAATGGTCGGTTCGGTAAAGACCCGTATTTTACGGGTCCGCCCAGCTAGTTGATATTATCAGATTAAGCTAGTTTTTAGATAATCAGTTTAAGCAGTATGTCTGCTTTATTAAAGAATTCAAATAAACAAATAAAAAAATTTAAGAAAATCACAAAAAAATGCTCTTAACAAAGTGATTTATTCAAATTTTCTATTCTATTAGGATTAAAAACCATAAATGTAATTTAAAATTTATTTAGCTGACTTTTGCAATCCTTTTGATATAGTGTTTTTGCCAGATTGTTTAAAAGTCAAATATTTGTAAAAGAAAGGTTGCACTTTATTGAACTTCCATAATTTAACTAAGTTGTAAGTCACACGCAAAATGTAGATATATTTAGCAAATCATTTTATGAACTTCTCTTGATTTACATTTGACTACAGAGGTTGCAATTGAAAAATATTTTTCTATAGGAATTTAAATATAATTTTTCAGAAGTTGAGTTTTATTAACTTCAAACTAATTAGGGAAATTAGGTGGTGGATCAGGTAAGTACACCATAAAATATTGGCAATATTTTGAGGTGTACTTACACATCTTACTAAAGCTTTTACACTTTGGGTATCAACACATCCTGTTGATACCTAAAATGTAATAGTAAGTTTTAATAACTCTAATCAGGGAGATCTTGTAAAAGATAATATAAATTCCATCTTAGATATCAGCCAACACCCTGTTAAGAGAGTTTGTCTTTTTTTTTTTTTTTTTTTTTTTTTTTTTTGTATGAAATATTTAAACAGATTTGTCATTTTAGTACTGTAAATGAAATTAACAGTGCTTCAGTATTTTAGTTACCAAAATTTTTAGACGTATTAGGGCTGATGGCGAATGAGTATTTCAGGCCCCCTTTAGTAATTTTCAAAAGAAGTCTTTAATGAAACAAATGTTGTTGAAACCCTGCCCCTTATGGTTAGGCTCGGGGTTTAGTTAGAGTATGGCTTTCAATAAAAAGAACTTTCGTTGGGTTCATGCTTAGAGTAAGAATTTCAATGTTTTGCATGAAACTTTATTTTTATATACTATAGTCTAACTAATGGTTTTGGTTTGATAACTTGTTAATCATAATTATAAAAAATAATTTTTATAGATGTTTCTTTTGCAAATGATGTTTTTTTTAAAAGTTGCAAGCAACTTTTAAAAAAAGTCTCATTTGTAAAATTTCTTTTTTTTTTAATTCATCTTGTAGTATTGGCAGAAACCAGACTTAGTTTTAGCCCTAAATGATTA